CACAAGTGATGTTTACATTCCTTGTCACAGCAATAAAAAAAAAAATGAAAGAAACATTGTTAAAAAAAAAAATAAAAAAAATATTAAAGTACCCCCGTCCCATTGGTCCCGCACGCATGCGTAAACAGAGATCGCACCACACATGTGAGGTATTGCCGCAAACCTCAGAGCAAGGGCAATGATTCTAGCACCAGACTCCCTCTGTAACTCTCTACTGATAGCCTGTAAAGGCTTTAAAATTTTGCTTCTGGAGATTTTTAAATACCATAGTTTGGTGCCATTCCACGAGCGTGCAAAATTTTAAAGCATGACATGTTGGGTATTAATTTAAAATTTTGGTATTATATTGTGTTTATGTGCATTAAAAAGTAAGCATAACTTTTTTTTGTACTGTATATATTTAAATTCTGAATATATTGAATTCATCATTAAATTTTCTTTAATTTGCCTATAAACATTTGCATTTGGTGCCAAATAGCATATCCTATAAACCTGCAAATTTGCAAAAGTGTCCACAATTTTTGCCGCCACTGTATGTTATGTGTGTATATGTATGTATGTGTGTGTGTGTGTGTGTGTGTGTGTGTGTGTGTGTTGTGTGTGTGTGTATATATATAATCTATCTTATTCCCAGGTTTTCATTGTGATGTCAAGGAATGGATTATCTGTGCGCACTGCTGCATATACACATTCAGTGCATCTTTGCAAGGTTTCTTGTGTAGGCTCTATCTGTTTTAGGTTTACTATCTTACTCTATGGTAGCCAAACAGTTAAACAGATCTGCCATCACAGCCCTCTCTGCACAGACAGGCACACAAAAGACTGTTTATTCTGTAAGCAGCCAGTGAGTAGATGATGGTACCAGACAGATGAAAGTCTAGCTCATGAGTTTTTCCTGTCCAGTCCTGTTCTATCTGAGATGGTGGTTTGAAATCCAAGTTATACACAGGCTTAGGTGATGCGTAAGAATAAGCACACATACATGGCATATGACTAAATCAAAGTTCTTGGACAACATCAGTGTTTATCTCCATAGTGACTTGTGCAATAAATCAGTAGATTAAATCAGACTTTACACTCAAGTATTCACCATTGTAAATATAATTTTGAGAATTTTGTCGGGAGATTTTCCCTTGCTTCTTGTCCTTTTATATAGGATGTTGCATAGACCAGAAAGACATCTCTCAAATAGTCTCATCAGAAAAACACTTAGGCCGGCCATACATGGGTCAAAATTCGACCGATTTTTCATCCGAAAATCGGATCTAAGAATAATTGTCCGATTTTCGCTCTGTTAGTGGGTCAATGGCACTGGCCGATTTTCATGGTTCCTCCCCTTTTTCGGTGATCGGGCATGTTGGAAAATTCGTGAAAAACTACCAATTTTTGACTCCATGATGGTCAAATCATAGGATCATTTTTCCGAAAAGAATATGCGCATGAGCCGTGACCTGGAAGGAACAGAAGTTTCGCCTGTTCTATAGGGTGAACTTTATCACTTGGTCGGCCAATTTTCAAAATCATTGATGGCACCATTGGATTACCGAGCAAACAACGGATCGTTTTCGATTTTCGGACTACAAATCGTTCGGAATTCGAACCATATATGGCCTGCATTAGGGGGAGATTTACTAAAACTGGTGCACACAGAATCTGGTGCAGCTGTGCATAGTAACCAATTTGCTTCCAACTTCAGCTTGTGCAATTAAACTTTAACAATAAAATCTAGAAGCTAATTGCTTACTATGCACAGCTGTTACCTCCCCTCTAAAAAGCCTCTAAAAAGCCTAAGCACAGCCAAAATCAAAGACAGAAAAATCAGCACAAGGGGCATTACCTAATCAGTTGGATTTGTCTCTTGTGCTGTTTCTTCTACTTTTAGCAGTAATCTTCCTCCATCCTTTGCCTGACAAAACCTGACGACATTTCTAACCTTTCCCCTCGCTATCTATAACTAAAAAAAAAATAAAAAAAAATCTGGAGTTAGGCTTTAAAATAATTGCACAGAGCACTCACCTACCTCTTCAGCTACTTCCTGTTTATTATACAAATTGGTGTTTTTTTTCTGAGCTTGGTAAACAACCTCTTGGCTTGCATTTACATCTTGCTGTGCTGCTGAGGAAGTTTTTTTTTTTTTTTTTTTTAATTTAAATATTTATTGGTTTTTCATGTTATTACAAAAAATTTCATAAAAAGAAACACAATACATTTAAGTAGTCTTAACATTTCTATTTTACCCCTTCTAATAACTCTTTTCTTTCCCTCCCCCCCCCCCCCCCCCCCATTCCCCTCCTCCCTTCTCTCCCTCACCTCTGCAAGTTTTCCAGTCTCACGAGGCCCAATCACTTTAAATAACTTCCTAATTTAAGATTTTCTATATTTCTCTTTCACTTTTGATTTTTTCCCATTTTTCCCATCTCGAATAGTATGTTCCCAGCCTATCTTCCTGCATATAGTAAGATTTTTCCATTTTACTGATCTGATTTACTCTATTGATCCAGTCTTCCTCCTTCGGCACCTCTGTTTTCTGCCAGAACTTGGGTATCAACCCTTTTACAGCATTTAAATATACCATACGCCTGATTCTTTATATTTATTTACTGTTATCTCAACATTATGTAGAAGACACATCGTTGGGTCTAACCCTATGTCATTTCCAGTTATTATTTCTATCAATTTAACTATTGTTTTCCAAAAAGCCTGAATTTTCGGACATTGCCACCACATGTGAAACACCGTGCCTATCTCTCCACATCCTCTCCAACACATTTTTGAATTCTCCCCACTCATCCTGTGCTCAATACTCGGTGTAATGTGCCATCGTGTCAAACATTTATAATTAACCTCCACTTCTCTCATACTAACGTTCTCATGTGTCAATCTAAATATCTTTTTCTGTTGATCCTCATCTAACACCACCTCCATATCTCTTTCCCACTTCGTTATAAAAATTAACTTTGTGTCTGTGTCTAATTCTGTGAGTATTCTATAAATTTTAGCAATACCATGTTTCCCATCTCTACGTGTTTCTAACAACCTTTCAAACATATTCCACTCCTTCTTTAATCTCAAGGGTTTTGGTAATTTCCCAATAAAGCATTTTAGTTGGTGATATTTCCACTCATCTATTCTAATAAAAATATCTCCCTTCTTCTCTTTAAGTTCTTTAAATGATCTCAATTTCCCCTCTACCAGTACATCTCTCAGTTGGACATCTTCCCTCTCAAACCATCTCCCTGATATCTCATCCTTTCCTGGGGGGAAATAATCAGTATTTGCAAGAGGCATTAATATAGAGTTGAATTCCCATTTCATATTTTTGTGTAAATTATCCCATACCCTTAGAACATTTAAAGTGTAATTACTTGTGTTTTCATTAATTTTTCTAAAATGTGCTGGAATCCATATCATCTTACTCAAACTAATCCCACTCAGTGCATTTTCAATTTTTACCCAACTCTTCCCCTTCTGGTTAAATGTCCAATCATAAATTCTTGCTAAAATTACTGCTTTATAATATCTCTTGACGTCGGGTAGTCCCATTCCCCCTTTTTCTTTAGTCCTACTCTCAGTATTTCATATGATATTCTTGGTTTTTTATTCCTCTAAATATATCTTGTTAACATTTTTTTTTTATCTTAAAAAAAGCCTCTGGGAGTTTGATCGGAACCATTTGGAATCTATACAGTATTTTAGGTATAATTACCATTTTAACTAGGTTTATACGTCCTATCCATGATGGGTTTCCTCCTAATATTTTCAATTCTTCCTTGATCTCATTTATTAAGGAAATATAGTTTAATCTATACAGTTGTTTGTAAGAGATAGCAAGTTTTATCCCTAGGTATTTTAAATCTTTTTCTCTCCATATAAAGGGGAATTCTTTTTGTAACTTTTCGTTTTCACTCTTTAATATATTGATGTTCAGCATCTCTGTTTTTGTTGGATTAATTTTTAAGTTTGATAGTTCCCCATACTCCTTCAAAAATTTCATTATATTTGGTAATGTTATTCGGGGGTTACCTACATAGAATAATAGGTCATCTGCATAGGCCGCTACTTTGTGTTCTATATTTTCGATCTGGATTCCCTTTACCGCACCACTATTCCTTATCATTGACAACAAAGGTTCCAATGACAAAACATATAGCAGGGGGGACAGAGGACAGCCCTGTCTTGTTCCATTGGACATCCCTATGGATTCTGATCTCTCTCCATTTACCGTAATAATTGCGGTGGGCTCCCTGTATAATTTACCTATCCACTCACGCATTCTCTCTCCAATCCCCTGCTGCTGAGGAAGTTGATCTGACAACCGCTATAGGGCACTTTGGGGAGATGCGTAAAGGTTTCTGCATTCTTGTAAATAAATACTCCATCTCCCAAGTAATCCCCCTAGTGGCAACTTCTGTAACAGCACAGAAGGCTGTAATACACTTTTTGGTGTGGGGAATGCATCAGTCCCTTCGAATAATATACAACAACCCAATTAGTTATTTGTGTAGGCTATGAGAGTGGGGACAAATAAAGGATCCACATTGAAAGTGTACTTCTCAATTACATACTCTGATGTTAAAATCATTGGGATCTGATTTCTTCTGCCTTCAGCTTTAAGTCAGTGGCAGCATAGTTTTGCCTCCCTCTTCTCCTTGGAATGTTCTTTCTCTGCTTGCATTTTCCATCACATAAAGAAAAAAAAAATCCTAGTGGGACCCCTCATAACAGTCACATCAGGTGGGTAGGCTCAGTAATGCTGTGCTGTCATCAAGGTTTTTAGGAAACCACCAGGTAAACCATGTATTTGTTCAGTGCTTTAGCTATATACACCAAGCCTCTCATAATCCTTGTAACAGTATATGTTGGATAGGTGTATTGTATTGCAAAACTTTACTTAATTATGGTGACACAAAAAGATTACTAAAGGATTTTCATCATTTAAAGAGAGACAACAGAAGTGTACTGCTATCTCTTTGACATTTGTTTTTTTTTTTTTTTTTCAGGGTATCCAATTCCTTATAGAAAATGACTTATTACAGAACACACCAGAAGACATAGCACAATTCCTTTACAAAGGAGAAGGCCTGAATAAAACTGTCATTGGTGATTACTTGGGAGAAAGGTAATGTGATATCCTCCAGAATATTATCTGTCACTTAGAAGTCACAGGCTTACAGCAGATGAGATCTCTTTTCTTTACAATGGGCATTACTAGTCTTATGGCACATCTGCCTAAAGGTTCATTCATTCTTTTTTTTTTTTTTTAAGCCCTCCATGACTAGACTAGATGACCGAAAACCACTGGTGATACCCTCATCTGAGCGTTTTCTGGGAACTAGTGATTTAATCAATGTCCTCATTTCTCCTGAATCTTCTCCATGCTGGGGACATCTGCCTCCTTTCAGATTTATTGGTGGTTGGGTCTTGCTTGCACCTAATACCACCATCTGTTATCTAAGATACACTAAGGTATACACTAAGGCCATAGATTATGCGATTTGCAGGAAAGAAAATTACCAGATTACCTCATCAACACCGGGTTGATGGTGGAATCCCTCCCACGGACATATTGTTTTCTCCCTGCCAGGAGAACACAATGATTACTGCTAGCAGCTATAGCCCATGGAAATATTTGCATGCTAACAATCCAATATGCTGGTTGTACCCAAGTCAATTGATGAATTGACCCAAGTTGATATGGTATAATCAACCTGCCAATAGATGTCCTTTCTATAAATTCTTGATTGTGTTGGAAGACCTGGCAGCCACATAACTACCTAAAAAGCAACCTATGTGGTGGTCTCGTTTTTTAAATCTGTAAAGCAATCGGTTTACAAGTAATTGATGCCTACAAGTTACCTCTTTCCTTGTTTTACGGTGTCCGCATACAGATGCCTGTGTATGGGCCAGCACAGCAGTAGTTAAAATTATGTTTTTTGGTTTTTTTTTGCGGTTTTGTCTCCAATACTAGGGGATTTCCCCTCCACTTCCTGTGCTGAAGTCATAACAGAAACTGAGTAGGCATCTCTCCAAACTAAGGGATATTGGGTTGGCTATACACTAGTAGAATTTTGTTAGGAATTTTTTTCTTATTTTAAGAACGTTTTTTTTTCAATTTTCTCTTCATTAGTGGGATCAAATCAACATTTGTTTTTGACCACAGCACTGAGAAAATTTTAAGGATCTTGAACAAATTTTTAACACCGTATATATATTTTTCGTCCATTCATTGCAAATCAAATGTTAAAAGCAAACAAAATTTCAAAGTGCTTTTGAATGACTTTCGTCAAGCTGTCAAATGTTTTGAGAATTTTTTGCACAAACATTCATCAGAACACGTGTCCCTGTTGAAGCTTTACCCTCTCTTAAAGTGTTACTAAACCCACAACAGTAAAATCAGTCTGTATATGCAGTAAAGCATGCTTGTTATAGACATTGTGGAACCTAAGGGGTTAATCCTCTGCATTGTGTAAAAACACTCTTTTGATCCTGACTTATCTGATCCTCTTCTTCTTCCAGTGTTCCCCTCTTATCTCCTGGTAAGACAGATCGTGTGGAGTCACTCTGCAAATGCTCATTTTGTTGTGTATTTCTAGAGAGGTTTTTTTTCTTTCTTGGGAGAGTGCATGTAATCAGCACAGGGCCAAGCAGCACTGTCCAGACAGAGGTCAGGGGTTCTGCATCCTCCTAGAGCAGAATGAAAACTCCTCCTACAAGCTCTAACCAGTGCTCGGCTGGAAACTGATAGAAGTCCAAGACTGCTATATACTGCTGATGAGAAAAGCTATTTAGCAGTTTATATTTACTAAAATAATTGTACTTCCATGTTCTGTGTACTATGGGAGACCAGATATAGTAAATGCAGGGTCCTGGGTTTAGTAACACATTAAGATGGGCATTCATGGATCAAAATTCAACTAGTTCAGCAGCGCCTATCCGAATGAATATCCATGTATGGGCAGACTTGTACAGAAGTTGATCTACCAAACGACTTCTGTACAAACCACTCTGTCAAGTTTTCCCTGCTCAGTCGGCACCACTGGTCAGATGTATCCTGATGGTGGGGAAGTTTTCCCATTGTGAGAATACAATACTTCAGTGGGGAGGATTCCACCATCCACATCAAGTGTGTGGATGTGGAAATCTAGTAATATTTTTTGTTCAACCCGCTGATTGAACAAAACAATGACTCCTCCTATGGGCTACTTTACTGTTCTGGCCTTGTAGGTATACTATACTTGACATAGATGTACAATTCCCTAGAGAATGTCTAAGATATTTTTGCTAGATTTTGAGAAACCGTATGTTGGGTCCTAAGCTAGCATGTCTACAGTATCTGGTACTTGTATGTTATCGTATATGGCTTTGCCCAGTGTTTTAGTTGAGGATCAGTCTTTTTTTGAACTACTGTAATAAGTTTAGACTTTTGACGTCTGCAACAGTTAGGGTGGAGCTTACCCCTTGTCCTTACTCGGTTTATTTTGAGCAGTGGCTATAATTTCTCATTATGGAGTTAAATGTCATTGTCATAGTAATGGGCTTGGTTGAGCTACACAGATTGTTGGCATAACAGACCTTGAGCATGCTTTGTTTGCCCGTATTAGAATAGCATACATTCCTGTTCGTCAGACTTCACCAGGAATGTTGGCAGATGACCAGCAAAGCTGTTTTCTTTGCTTTTGCACAAATGCACAGTCTGTGGCACTCTCAGGAAGCAGTGTCTATAATTCCAGTTAAGGAGGTAAAATCATCAGTGTGGCTGCTTGTGGGTTTTGTCTCCTGCAGTTACAAAGTTCTTATTGGTGGTGAATTTCTTCTTGTTGATCTTGGCCATTGCTTATGTTGCCTTTTATTACGAGCGTTAACTGGAATAAGTCTTACACAGCAAAGCTCATTTATTTAGTAAAAATTTCTTGAGGACAAAAGAAAAAGATGTATTTTCCATTGCATTATGAATTCTTATACTGTACCGCGCTCCAATATTATCAACCTTTTGTGATTAACCTTTTTTGGTTGTGTGAATTTCTTAATATACCACCTATAATCCAATCATTACTTACTTCTATGGTGCTTAAATATACAATTAACATAAATTTAATTTATAAATATGAATTAAAAAATTATATGTGATTATAACAAATATTAATAAAAAATTAATGAAAAATTGGAATGTCAATTCTATGTGAATAAAATAATAAAAAATTAATAAAACATAAAAAAAAAAAAAAAAAAAGGGAATGTCAATTATTTTCTTTAAATTTGAGATGGTGTTGTTATTCAATTTAGTTAATGTGATAAGTCTGTGTTGGCAGCTTGAACCTCTCCCTTGTCTCCTCTCCTCTCTCCTCAGCTCAGCTTTCTCAATTGTGCTTTCTTCACTGGCTGCTTTGTTTATTCCTCCATATACGGAACATGCACAGAAGGGAAAAGAAACATAGTGTCTTATCCGGGATATAAGTGATTTATTGCTCTTTGATCTCCCACTCACATTGTGTAAATGTAAATAACGCTTTGCATACAATGTATCAAGATTGTGCTTCAGACAGCCTGGCTGATGTGTTTGCTTGCAGTAAATATACTCGCATTTCTCTGTGGATGCGTGATAACGTCACCGCCCCTCCCCTACGCGTTACGCTACAGGGACTCGTAGCTTCCTCTGGGGGATGTGGATTTTTACTGTCTGAAGCACGATCTTGATACATTGTATGCAAAGCGTTATTTACATTTACACAATGTGAGTGGGAGATCAAAGAGCAATAAATCACTTATATCCCGGATAAGACACTATGTTTCTTTTCCCTTCTCTGCATGTTCCGTATATGGAGGAATAAACAAAGCAGCCAGTGAAGAAAGCACAATTGAGAAAGCTGAGCTGAGGAGAGAGGAGAGGAGACAAGGGAGAGGTTCAAGCTGCCAACACAGACTTATCACATTAACTAAATTGAATAACAACACCATCTCAAATTTAAAGAAAATAATTGACATTCCCTTTTTTTTTTTTTTTTTATGTTTTATTAATTTTTTTATTATTTTATTCACATAGAATTGACATTCCAATTTTTCATAAATTTTTTTATTAATATTTGTTATAATCACATATAATTTTTTAATTCATATTTATAAATTAATTTATGTTAATTGTATATTTAAGCACCATAGAAGTAAGTAATGATTGGATTATAGGTGGTATATTAAGAAATTCACACAACCAAAAAAGGTTAATCACAAAAGGTTGATAATATTGGAGCGCGGTACAGTATAAGAATTCATAGTTTAATTTCATACACCTAGAGAGGGTGTAATTAGTGCCTGGCGATCCAATATTTAATAAATATTCACTTAAGCACACAATTAACACTAATAATAGAGTAAGTTAACTCCTGGTGGCTCACAAATAACTATTCTATTAAAATTATTTTCCATTGCATGCTTTATTTTATTTTCTAGTCTGGGCTAAAAAAATGACAACTTTCTGGTTACTATGTATAACACCTTAGCCCAAAACTGGTCCTCGAGTTTTGTGTGTCTGCTGGAAAGAGACATTTTTATGCTGCTTTTACATTTTTTAATGTAACTTTTAAGGGGTCATATTCCTGCTTGTATATCGAGCCCTGCCGCACAGAAGCTACTAGAAAGCCAAGCAATAGTGTTGCATTTCTTCAATAGATACTTCATAATTTATCATTATTATTTCAGGTACTTGTGTAACGCCATCCATTTTCGCAGCGTTTTACATAATATAAAATTTCCCTGCAGTAGGGAGTGTCTCTTCCTCCATCATTGTGGAAGGGGACAGAGACACACATTCATGCATGGAAACCTTGCCTATTGATTTCTTTGATAGACACAAGGATGATGGAAGTCAGAAGAGCTTCACCTCATTAACTAAGCTCTTGATCAAATTCTCTAGCAAAGTGCAGCATGCCTTGCAAAGTGAACAGCCTATTTTGTCTTTAGTAAATCAACCCCAGGATGTTGACATGCGATTCCACCCAACACTGCCTGCTTGATATTGACGTAGCATTTCTGCTTAGAATTTAGTTAATTTTAGTTTAAATGCAGTGTTATGGGATTTTGCTCAGTTCTGTCCTGCAGAGTTGCCCTGTGTCGCAGCTAATAAAT